GTACAGCTCACAATCCTTCAGAGCTCTGGAGGTCACCCTGTGAAGTGCACACCACTGTGGCCGGCGGGAGCCTCTGTGGTCTGCACTGCCTCCCTGTGGACAGGAGGTAACTGTAGCCCCGGGGGTCGTCACGGCCTGTCCTACAGGACACTGAAGCACTGGCCAGGCCAGCATCTACAGGTGGAGGCTGGGGAGGCAGGCGAGGCCTGGCCTTCTGATCCCAACCCAGGAGGACTCAGGTTCTTTCTTCCTGCCACCCTGTGGGCTCAGGGATCTGGTCTCTTGCCGGCAGGAGCAGGCCTGGCACATCTGGACACTGCCCTCCTTGGGCTGTCCTGCATGTGTCATCGAGGTGGCAGATGCCCACTGCTTCAGTGCTGCAGGCCACTGACAGTGTCAGACAGCAGGTTTCCCGAGGAGAAACCAAGGGCACTGGGAGAGCAGGGGGTCCGACCAGTCCAGCAGGGGTGGCGGGCCTGGGGGAGCAGGCTCTGCCTCTGTGGATGGCCTGGGTCCTGGAGGGTGTGCCCCATGTCTCCGGCCTGCGCTAGCCCTGGGCCTGGCCTGCTAGGCGGGTGGGGTTTGCGGGCGGCTCTCCACGGCCCTGTGGGGCTTGACTCTGCAGCACGGGCAGCTCGGGGCGGGCCCTGTCATGGCTTTCCCTTTTCCTCGCCTCCGCTGCCGAAGGAGCCATCCTGGGTGCAGGAGACACTGTGGCCTGGGTGGGGTTGGGCTGAGGAGGGGTGCCGACGCCCCATACCGCACCCCGTTCCCCCAGGATCAGCTTTGCCTGTGCTGCCTGCGGCCTCTCCCAGCCCTGGAGTCCTTGCCAAGGGCACAGCGGCCTCGCAGCCCGCGCTGACGGCCTCCCAGATGGTCTGGTATCTACTTGACTGGAGGGTCAGCGTCTCGACGGATAAATCACAGCGGCACTAGATCAATTGTCAAGGTTTGGCCGACTCATTTGAGGGGCTGGATTCATGTGGTGCCATTTCTTCTTCTTGCTGCAATTCTTTCTAAGGAATGTGGTGTCAGAGTTTTAGTGCCTCATATTTCCTGCAGATGATAGCCGCATGCTAACAGAGCAGCGGTGACAGTGCTTCATGTCCCGCAATTGGATTTGCTCGGATCCCAGCGCCACCGGCTTTGAAGTGGCGTCTCCGAGCAGAGCCGCTGCGCGTCCCTGGCTCATCCCAGCGTGCACCGCGTCCTGGCTCCGGCAGCCGCTCTTTGTATGAAGCACGGTCTTTGGTATTCATGCGGATTCCGTGGCTGTAATGAGCAGACCCCGTCCCTTAAATAATGTCACTTTTCATGTTGAGGGAAGGAGACATTCAGGGCACGCATTTCCAGTCCTTGTTTTCTAGGGATGGCGAGGCCCAGGACTCGGAACGCAGGCGCCCCGTCTGGGCAGACGGGCTTTGCCCCCGGCCTGTTCATGGTCATTTTAGTGGACGGAGCTGCTTTGTCCTATGAGTTGCACTCGAGCCTAAGTGGGGCCCCTGGTCCTTGTCCCGGGCTCTGCGGTGAGGACGGCCGTCTCTCCCCTTCCTAGCGTTCTGCCTTCTGCTTTCCCTCGTCTTCTGTTTCCCCTCAGATCAAGGTGCACTGCTGTCCCCTGAGGTCTCACATCCACCCCCGCACCTTCCGCCTCTTACCTGATGATTCTGTCCTGTGACCTGACCTCAGGTTCTGTCCGCCCCGTGGGTGTGAGGAGCCACCGTCTTCCAGCTCGTTCTCCAAACACCGTGTGCCCATGAGTTCCTGCAGGACACAAGTGCAGGCCTCTGCTTCAGGACT